CAAAATAAAGGGAAAGAGAAGGTCGTAATGCCTATTGTTTATTATCATTACGTAAAAAACCAAAGTTGAATTAAATGCAGAGGACATAGAAAGAAAAGGCAAGGAACCAAGACGCGGACCTGCAATGTCAGAAAATTGTAGGAGAAGGGTGCAGTGAAATGGGATAGCAGAGCATGCGCAATGCGTATACGACTAACTTGCTGTTCACAGCGTGTGATGTTTGCCTTTAGTGGAATCATGGGAGTATCTTTTACTAATTCAAATATCACAAAACAAACACACGAATAAGAAGGCAGGAATAAAAAATAAAGCCAATTCCTCTATCAGAACAAAATAAAAAAGATTTCGTGGACACATAGACAACAATAGTTGCCTCCCACTCCAGATATCATATATTAGATCTTAGTAAATAGCGACCTTAACGATAAAGAACGGTACTTACTCGGTGGGAGGTTTGATGCTTCGTAATCTTTTGCAAGGATTGACTTTCATTAGCCAGTTACAAGAAACTTTCGATGGTGAAAATGAGTAAATATTTCCACAGTTGGTTCCAAGTAATACGTTACTCTTTGAGTTCTAAAATTGTAACGCTGCACGGACAAACTGGCAAGCCGTACAAGTGAGCAAATCAAGGTACAAAACTGGCCCAGAAACTCTCCTGATTTAAATCCAATCGAGAATCTGTGGTCAATTTACAAGGAACAACTTTGTGGAATGGACACCCGTAGTAAACATGTGCACTGGGTCATGTTTCATTGGAAAAATATGAAAAAAGTAAATAATCGAATTGTTCGTTTTGTTCCAATTAATTTGCACAAGGATATATTTTCTATAATTAAAAATTGAAATCATGGTATAATATTATTACAGATAATTGAGGTTAATATAGGATGCAGTGGGTAATTTATTTTCTAGTTTATTCATTTGAATATTAAAAAGATATTTGTTGAAAAAAACTTTTCTTCTCCAGAGAGAAAAAAATGTAATGAACGTCTCCATTTTCCCAAAGCAAAAGATGTTTACACGTATGATCATCCGTAGTGAAAATCATCAATTGTTTAAAATGATAAAAACCTTACCTTCAGCGAAAATATTATTTTTGTTCTGTTTTGTTTTGTTTATTGATTTTGTTTTTTATTGTCTTTTTTTACTGTGTATGGGGTTAGATATGGAAGAGTATAAATGGAAAAAAAATGAGAATGAATCGAGACCAAAATGAAATTTTAATAAGCGTTATTTTTCTTAATTTTATGAGAAAAATAAGCGCATCATTTAAGAATCCAAACGGGGCTTTTCTCAATATAGATTTCACACTAACCATTTCCTTCATTTATATCTCTTTTAAGATTCTTTTAATTGTTCGTTCCTTTCTCCTTCGATACTGATGGCTTTTTTTAATTCATGCTATCTTTCAAGATATTTTTCTAACGACATAAAAAAAAAAAAAAACAAAAAAAAAAAAAAAAATTTAAAAAAAATGTTGAACGGTCTAACGGTTGGAGCAGGTTTTGAATCTAAACAGTCACTTATTCAAGAAGTTTGCTTCTTCATAATGGTATCCTGTGGTGACTATCCTAACGCGAGACATGACTGGAAAGTGCCTGAAAACCATACCACGTGTTGATTCAATCCTTGTGTGTGAAACGGAGTATATGAAACTGTTTGGAAGCCGTCGATGGTTGCGATAAGGGACACATAGAATCTCTTCGGCCTTGGTTACAAGCGATGCAGAAATGGTGACGCGATAAAAACACCCCTCATCTTGAACCACTCGTAGGGATATGACGTCCTGAAAAGAACGTGCAATGACTGAAATTCTTAAATAAAGGCAGTTGCATGATCTGCCACAAGTGGACATATTTTGACTTACTAAAAAAAAGCGGGAAACTCGTTTCAAAATACATTCATTTATTTTTTACGTCGTTAAATCGAACAAAGCGGTTCTCATGTGCACTGTAAGTAAACTGTTGATATTTTTTGCGTACAATTCGTGTAAAATATTCTTCGGTTTCTGCTATGAACAATTAAATGGTTAAAGAAATGACAAAACAAGTGTTACAGATATATCATATATTAAACAGTAAGTACAACAGAAGAGTATTACACGACTAGTGAGTGTGTGCTGGTTGACCCAGCGTTCACTCTATTCAACTGTTATATTTAACAGCCCTCTCACGAGGGATGTATGTGGCACAAGGCCGAGTTTACTATGGGTTCTCCGAGATCGTAGGCTCGGCCAAAAATATTCCCTTAGAACCCGCATAAACGGGTTCAGGGGCTGTCAATCTCCCCGGACGAAACTTTACACTTCAGCAAAGCCTCGATCGGGTTTATTTCTGCTCAAGGCAGAGAGTTCGACAATAACAATCTATTTCGACTGTTATATTTATCATCCCCCACGAGAGATCTATGTGGCACAATGCCGAGTTTACCGTAGGTTTTCCGAGCCCGTAGGGTTGGCCAAAAATATTCCCTTTGAACCCGCTTAAACGGGTTCAAGGTCTGTCTACCACCAGGATGAAATTTTGCCCTGCGGCAACGCTTCGTCTGTGTTCCTCTCCGCCGAGGCTGAGTGTTCGAAAGTTACGAACAGTCTGGTCGACTGATAATATTTAACAGCCTCCCCCACGCTCACGAGGGATGTATGTAGCACAAGGCCGAGTATACCGTGGGTTCTCCGAGCCCGTAGGCTCGGCCAAAATATATTCCCTTAGAACCCGCATAAACGGGTTCAGGTTCTGTCTACCTCCCCGGACGAAACTTTGCCCTTCGGCAGAGCCTCGTCAGAGTTCCTCTCCGCTTGAGGCAGAGAGTTCGACAGAAATGAAGAGTCTGTCGACTGATCACCCAAGGCCTTCGCTCCTACTTATCTTATAGTAGGCGGAAGAGTCCAACATAGACTCTTTAGAGGGAGGACACCACAACAGTTTGAATGGATGCTTTTGTTAAGCAGAAGACTTAACCGTGACGATGCCCGCCTTATTTTCCTGTGATCTGTCTCATTTGAATTTTTGTTTCACATTGGATTATAACTTTTCGATGTCCTTCAAGGCATATCATCGGAGTCGATTGCTTTTTCTTTATATTTCTAACCACAATTATATGAACTGTTTTATAGACAGATTTTGTCGCATAGTTTATATGCAGGCTGTAAGCTGCACTGTTGCAGCCACAACCACAAATTCATCGATGTTTTCTATAATATCTTATATATATTACGATTATCTTACAGACATTATCATAAGGAATCGTATACTTAACATATTGTATAATCAAATTATAACAAATTTTGTTGGATTATTTCTTTGTAGGGTATCAATTCGTTCTGACTGTAAGGTGCCAGTATCAATACGCTATAAACAATACTTCTTATTGTATACAGTCTGGTTGGTTTAATTTCTGTTTTCTGTATTGGTTGATTCGTTTTCTACGGTTTATCACCCTTTTTCTGGTTATTTAAAGCCATAAAATATTTTTAGATTATAAGAATTTTTTTTAGATAATAATGATTTAGTGATACAAATTTTACTAAATAACACATAGCTGTGAGTAAAGATGTAGATTATGGCTTCCACAAGGATATTTGTGCGTAAGTGACTATAACGAACCCGATTGGAATTCGAACTCGGCTCTCTAATTAACAGTTTCGAAACATTATCGATTATATCACCTGTACGTCCAAGCATATAGCATCTGGTATTCCCAAGCGGTCACCCCTCTAGATACTGATCAGGCTCGACGTTGCTTAACTTCACTGTTTCAACGTCATGTGGCCATAAACACCAGCGTATCAATTAGTATTGAATCTTTTCGTTAATTAATGAGGTCTGATTGCTAATTCTGTCTTTTTGTTTGGTAACTGTCATTAAATACATATATTTTTAAAAAAAATATACTTTCCCCACGTCAAATAAATTCCATAAAATAAATTCTCTGGTGTTTTTGTCTGATTACAAACGTCAACAGCCTGAAATTCTGACCTTTTATTTCTGGGCACTGGTTCTCGTAAATTCCATTTGTGCAGCAATTTTGCAAAAACAGACAAAATTCTGATAAAAAAAAAAATCACTAAACCTTTGACATATCTGTGCCTAATTTCTTTGGGTGACCTCTCCTTTTCTCTCTCAATGTATATACATATAGGAGAGAGAACGAAATTATCCTCAAACCATCTCTCCTTCTCGAAATATGACAGTATATTTTGTCAGTATCACGTCACATATATATATATATATATATATATATATATATATATATATATATATATATATATGAAGACGAATCTTCACTAAGACATATTATAAAGAAATACACTACCAATTGACCTGAATAAAAAAAAAATCAAATTAATTATCTATTATAAAAAAAAAATTTAAGACAGCTAACCTTATCCTCAAAAATAACAACACACCAGCTAAGTCAAAATTACAAGGAACATTATTTATGAGTTCAAATGCCCCTTAAGGAATTGTGTTCGTGATCAAACCGGACTCATAAATAATTACATTGGTTACACAACCACATGCATATCCAGACGTCTTACGTTACACCTATCTGATCACAGCTCCATTAGAACCCATTTAAACACACACACAAATTTACCAGACTCCATTATAAACATACTAGTAGAAAACACAAATATATTATGTGCATCCACCTGTAAGAACGATTAAAAATAATGAAAGCTTTAATAGTAAAAAAGAAAACAACAACTCTTAACAATATTAACTACGAACAAGGCCACGATGTGTTAACCGTATACGGAAATTAAAAACATCCCTACTACACACTATACACATAAAGCACACACTCAATTAAGCTGAAAAAAGGGAGACGTTATAGTTGTTCCAACGAGAGAAATATTATTCTTTATTTTCCATATTTGTCTTTTGTGTGGAGTAGTAATCCAAGTTTTTCTTGAGATTGTGGAGAAAATATTCTTCTGCTTAAGGGGTGATAAACAATTAGGATTGGTCAGAGAAAGGGTGAAGGAAGGAGTT